GTCTTCTAAATATCAAACTTCTAAATTTCATAAAAAAGACTTCTAAATATCAGCTCCTCAAGTTTCCCTACATCATTTGGACTGTGATTACTCAGTGTAGCATATCCTTTGATGATAGTGCAGTTGATTTTCTTGCTTTTAAGAAATAGGCTCACAATTTATTACACTCTGGAATCATCCCATTTCGTTCATCTACAAAATAAGCAAGATTTCATTTCTTCATAAAAAACTAGTGTACACGTAACTTACAATTGTTATCATATTTCTAAACCATTCGAAATCTACTTGTCCTCGATCGACTGACTGTGCAGCCATAAATCGTGTTCGCATTGCAAGAACATTAAGCCCAGCTTTCTCAAGCGCATCAATCCTTTTTTCATAATAAACATGATTGGAAGGATCGGTTCGTACTGCTAAAAAATTTTCGTAAACAAAAAATATAAAAGAATGATAATGGAAATTTTGCGATCCTTCTTCACATCCTTTAGAAAATAATTAAAATTGGAAAATTAGACTGGAAGAGATTTAGACATCCGAAGTTTTGTACTAAGTGATATACAGCAATGAACCTCCATTACAGCGATAATAATAATAATAGACAAATGTAAAAAGTGGAAAAGGGAGAGAAAGGAAGAAGGAAGAAAAGGAAATTCAAATAATCAACGAACATTAACCTCTTCCATAACATGCAGCAGCCTCTTCGCTTTTATCCAACTTCAAAGCATAATCACCCAAATCTGCCCATTCCACAGCAGATGTACGATTACCGTTCAAATGAGCAGCCAGCAAACCATATTGCAACGATTTCTGGGGTCGGTTAAGATCATTGTAGATATCAGCCTACCTGTCGGTATGGTTCTGGATTTCGTGGTTCTTGTCGGATTACCTGAAAAATCACACTGAAACAGGCAAACCCAAATCTCTGCTGGAATTTGTGGAGTAATTTTGATTTATTAATATCAGCATTTGTTAAATTATCATAAGTACATTGAGTACTTCATTATTAACAAAATACAAAGCATAATACCTCCTGCAGCATAGTTAATGCTTCTTTTGTTTGTCCTTTCGCATAAATAACATTTGCTTGACCGATTAAAGCATCCAATGTCCTGAAAAGTAGTAAGCTTATATTATCAGCTAAGTTTACGTCATCAGTTTTATCACATATTTGCTCGTCAGAATCTTTATTATTTAAAGTTTATCAGAAAATACAGAAATAACATTTACAGACATCAACAATATATGGAATATGCAGGCTCGAAACATAAAAACAACTTGTCCGTTTTCATTCGTCTTTCTCCACCGAAGCCAACGAGTTTCGCTCCTGGAACCGTTTCACCAAATGATTCACTATTCCTGAGTTCCAGTGGTATGCCCAACAAACGATCTTCATCAACTTCTTCCAATGATCGTTCATGTGGTGCTATCTTTGAAATGGATAGTTCCTAAAAATAAGATTACTGAAGAAATATTCAGAAGCAAGAATGATATTTGTCTGAAGTAAAATGAATTCAATTAAGGCTCGTAATAAACACTTTTTTTCGTACCAATTAGCAAAGGAAAGTTGAAAAGATATTTAATAATATGGTTATCCACAATGAAACCTACTATGTTACATTGTTGATAATTACATTATTAAATATTCTTCATCAATAAAAAATGAATTTCGATGAACTAACACCGATAAATGATGTTTCCGGTAAGTCTGCAACAAAATCATCATATCCATCATCGCCTGCTTCATTTTCAACTCCGATTTCAGCAGTTTCACTAAATAATGGGACAATGTTATATTTTCGATTAGAAATGCTACTGATTAACTTGCTTTTCTGATTATTCGAAGTTGTCATTGCAACAAATTGTAATAAGAAACTAGAAACAAGAGGTTTTGTTTTCGTTTTGCCTTCATTCCCTTCGCTGACAATAATTAATAGCATAGATTATACCACTTAAACTATGCATGAACAGAGAAAAGACATCAAAACAAGCTGATCGACATTTCGTCAAGAAAATGCACAAATACCTAGACCAGTTACTTTCAAAACTTCCTTTCTTCATCTACAAATAAATGTGATAAATAATTCGTTATAAAAAAAAGGAGAAAAACCAACCTTTGTGGTGCAAGCTGCGTCCGTGATTTCTTGTGATCGCTGTCTGAAAAAGAAAAAAAACCGCCATTAATACAGATAAGTGATCATAACAGCAAGATTTTCAACTTGAAAAACAATCAAAATTTTGCAAAATTTGAAATCACCTTCACTGAAGTCGTAACCTGCTTCTTCTTCATCCAATCCAACACCACCTACAAAATAATTTTTTTTTCAAGTACCAAACTTGAATAACGGCAGTATATACTTAGGCTAAGCTTAACGCAGATATGTAAAGGTTTTTGTAAATATTTCTCAATCAAATATTATACCTGAACTTTTAGATGAAAAACTAAAAAAAGAACTATGCATAAGCTTCATACATGCTTGTATTTCTCATGCTCAAGTACACAACGCTCATCTACATGGTATATGCTTTGTAGATGTCGAATTTCTTTTTCTCTTTCTGGAAACCATTAAAGTGGCCGGTAATGGACACACCCCATAAATTAGTGAAATATAACTGATAGGGAAATCGAAAGGCTGAACGCAGTGAAATCATATTAAGCTAACTAATAAACCTGCAACAACTGTAGAAAATTACATTACCTGTCATTTGCATGAACTCATTGTAGGCAATTTCATTACGCATGAATCGTTCCAATGGTTCATTAAATTCTACGTCGTCGCTGTTTTCTCCAGCAACTAATTCGGAAGTACTCGATGGTTCGAAATATGCCGACACATTAATTCCATCGATCATACCATCTGATTCCAAAAGATCCGATTGTGAGCAATTTTTCGCTTCATGGGCCAAATCTGCATAACTTAGCTAATTATCTTTCATAAATTTCAAGCAGTTGAAACTATACATGTTTCATATTCTCCCAAAACTTCCTAACTTTCTAACCTTAGCCCTTCCAAGTTTCACTAAATAAGCTTCTCAACTCGTTTCTGCGACAGATTAATTTACATGTCGATCAAATTATAATTTTATTATTTTTATTCCTAACTTAAAAACTTATGAAATGAATGACAGTACATGAATGATATCTGGAAAAAATAAAGAATTATATTTACGTCTAAAATTAAAGAAAAAAAAGTCAAAGTGAGGAGAAAGTGAGTAAAAATTCAATAATACAACAAAGGATTTATTCTATCTGTTCTACTAAAACATACATCAAATAAGAAAGTTTAGAAATATCGTTGGAAATTTTCTGTAGCAAATATATACAGCACTGGATATAAATGTATTATCTTCCTTAATTCCATTTTTCCATTAAAAATATTAATAAATATAAAAATTAGATGAAAAAAAAAAAACTTACAATCAGCAATGGTTGACTGTACGCTGTCACGTCGCACTCGCATTGGTGCCAAATTAACAAGCTCTTCATCATTATCTTCCATTTTTATCTAAATTTCATTTTGCATATATACTTTTTTTTCTATTCATACGGAATACACATTTTTAAATTCGAATCTTGCATGAATGGTTCGATTTCATAAATCTACGTTGTACACTTATGTTTTACATTATTTTAACCCAAATTTTATTTTCTATTTTTTTATCCATCAATGAATACGCAAAAGTTTTGCCTTAATTTTAAATAAGTAATTCAATTTCATGTACTTACGTGAACTTATGACCTTTCCTAGACAAAACCGAAAACTTCCTTATGTTGCATAACTTGGAACTCTCTCCTAGACTGAATTAAATTCACTCTTGCTAGACCGAACTACCAGCATTTCTCTCATGACTGAACTAACCATCCTTCCTTTCCCGACCAAAACTATTCAAAACTTCGACTTATGCGCTTCTACTTGACGTGGAAAATGATAATATCGAAAAAGAGCGCGCATTTACGGAGGATCAGACGACGAGAGACCATTTAAGCATAATGTGAAATAGAGAAAGACGTAGCGTCGTTGTATTGTAACTGTAAATCATGTCAATATGGTAACGTGCGTGAACGATAACGTGAGGAGTAAATAAGAGCATTTCGTGCTACGTGCAATATGGCTTGTCAATTTTGTATGTGATATGAAATGCACGTTTTCGGTGCAATATTTCACGATGACAAATCTCCGGTAAAATATTATACAGCGACGAATTTCCAGTAAAATATTTCACGATGATACAATAAGTTACCTTATTGCTTTACTTGTACATACAGACGTTCACGTGAATTTACTACAAAGTCAGATATGAGTTTAATTTACTTATGGAATTACTTGAAAATGTAGAAAATATATGCGTATTAATGGAAACGTTGTTGCAAAGAAGAAATAAACTTGATAATAAATGCTTAAAAATTTCATACTCAGGTTAGCTTAATTTTCGAACTTTAAACGAAGATATTTATAGAGAATGCTCAAAAGAAGGCTTACTTGTAATTAAGAATTTTCGAAGCTCTTTTCCGAATATACTTGCTGTTTATGGTACTTCAATTTTTCCAATCATCTTTATCGTTAGTAAATTACCTTTAATTATACCACTTGTAATAAAGATAATTTTTAGTCTCATAAGTTACAATTGATATTACAACAATCTACGCGACAATTAAGATAATCATTTCATAAGAGATTTTCTGAGATTACCTTCATTAGAAGTATTCACGGAGATTTTCTGAAATTCATTACCGGAATTGGATGAGTTTTATCGTTTTATTATCTCATCGTGAAAATGAGGAACAATCAGTATCAATGAAGTTAATGATATTATACCGAAGAATTTCTTAACCAATCTATTTGCCTATTGCAATTGACTGCATCTTATAAGGTATGACAAAAGTTTTGCTTTATATTTTAACAGCATAAGATTTTCATTCCGGCATATCTGATCTTATATATATATATATATATATTTGATCTCACGTATAATTCCTCATCTCTGTCTCACATAGCCTTCGTTTGATGACATTATTTTCCATCCTTTTATGTTACATCTAGTTTTGCCATCCCTTCAACGAAGCATGAAAAGTGGAGATATATTTATATGAGTTAGTTTTCCATATTGTTTTACCTAATAAATTTTTGACATATCTATCAGATTATATTTTTGCTGCTATTTATATTGTATAGGTAAATTACTACATTATTTTACATGGTAGACTTATGATGCAACTACTAAATCATGTTTTCGCTGGTGTTTGTATTGTATAGATTAATTATTACATTGTTTTATCTGACAAATATTTGAGACAAGATAGATTCAGATTATATTTTTGTTAATCGACCGTAGGAAATCTGTAAAATATGTAAATAATTCTATCATTCATCGGTATGAATATGGGATGCACAAATGTTAAAAACGACAATGCATTTGTATTAAGTTTAAAAAAGGAATTAAAATTTTGAGGAATAATTTTTTCACCGAAGTTAACTGATAATGTGTACTATTTTCAACTTCATTGATATAAAAATTTGTGATGAGAGAAATAAAAATAAAAATTCAGCATTCGATTTAGCAAACTGCTAATAATTTATTGCTGTTTTTTTTTTTTTTCACTCATCTAATTAAACAAAATATGGCACTGACCGTATTTCAAGAATTATTTGGCATTTAAAAAGTAAAAAAAACCATATATCTAATTTCATTAGGAATTTTGGTGTGAAAATGTATTTTGATATCTATCGTATAAGGTTATCATATAAATTGTTATGCTAAGTTAAAATTGTCGCGCAAATTTTGTGAATTAGTTGGTGAAATGAGTGACTAGAAATTTTTGCTAATCTTTATTTTTAGGAATTTAATCTAAAAAATTCCCCATCAATTTTTAAATCTTCGCAAATTCTACAACATTCGCATTTTTAACAGTAGCAAAAAAAGTTATTAATGCAAGAAATTCGCTGATGAAAATTTTTTTTTTCATACCAATCAAGGATTGATATAAATTTTTTCGTACTGGTCATTTTTTTTTCATACCGGTTGTTTTCCGGTAGAGTTTTCCATACAAGAGACAATATGTTGTGAGATATCAGGTAGAATATCAACCTAAATGCAGGAAGAAAATTCGCTGTGTCTTTGATTCCCGGGAAATATTCGAATGGAAGAAATGTGGGAGGAATATATCATCGGAGAGATGTCGAACAAGTATAACTCGTAAGTAAATAATATTTTGGTGATATAATATGATCAATATAATTAAGGCGAAATTTCTAATAGCTGATATTTCAAATTTATTTCAAATTCATTTTCACTAAATAGATGCTATTAATTAGCTCCAAAGGAAAAAAAATGTGATAGATGTCGTTGATAATGCACGTAGAAACAAAGGGACAATAATCCCCCTTTCTTTTGAAAGCGAGACATCTTTGTTTTATATGCTCATATCGTCTTACATTTGCTCTAACAAACAATCCAACACCAATGGGTCTCCATAAGGATGCTAATTCTTGTAATCATAAAACGGTACAAGGACCCTCCCAGTCGATGAAGCGGAGGGTCCTGTGCTCTAATCCAATTGTTCAAATGTGTTTCATTGAGGTCGGTTGGATATAAAGTATCGGGCGTGACTTGTCTTTTTTGTTCTTGTGTATTCGTTATTAATTTGTTGTATCAATGTCATATTTGCAAGTTTGTTGTTGTATTAATAAATTTATCGTAATGAAAGGTTTAATTGCCCAAGTTTGAGGTACTATCAACTAAAGTGGCTGAATGAACCCTCAGTTTTTGTCACGACTGAAGAAAATCGGTGACAATAGAATTATGAAGGATGGGAAAAATCATAAAAAAAATTCGTTAATGCAGGGAGCAATAAGAAAATTATCAGTGATGTCAAAATGATAACTTTATCAATTATTTGGCTTAAAAAGATAATACTTGCAAACTTTTATTTTATCAGTAGAATTGGAATGATTAATTGAAATGAAAGAATTGGAAAAAAATTGAATTGTAATGAAATGATTAAATAAATGTAATTAAAATGCATCGAAGACTTTCCAAAATTTCTAGAAAAATATGGAATTTGTTTCAATTAATCAAAAAATTCCTTCAAAAGAAATGGAAGTATTTCGTTTATAACTTTGACAGTGCTAATAATTAAACATTCATTTTTCTAATGCACAATGCTCAGTAAATAATCTAAACTAGCGAATGATATGCAATCACAGGCAAATTAATTTACAATTCCATTTCATATTTTAAATTAAAAGAAAAAATTGTAAGTTATAAGTTTAAGAATTATAACTTTAAAAAGCATGAGTTGTGATAATTGTTCACGAAACTAAGATAATTATGAATTTGTAATTTATAAATTTGCAAGTTTATATGGGTTCCTAAGTTATAGCTTATTCAAATTATAACTTTATAAAGCAATTAAATTCTAATATTTGAATGATTAGATAATAATAAGCAGAAAATAGGTAATAATACTAATTATAATGATATTATTTCCCAGGAAAAAAAAGGACATAATATTTATTGTAAAATAAATCTTTGACACTGAAATTTAAAACTTGTTTTTCTTTTTTTTTTGGTAAATTTATCAGTTCATACAATGAGCTCATTAAAATAAATAGCTAAAATTAAAAAAAAAATTGTAAAAAGAAAAAAAAAGGAATTAGAAGAATAATAATATTTCAAAAATCTTGCCGATTTATTTTGCACAATAAATGAATGAAATGAATTTTCTTCAAATATTTCTCATCTAAGCAAAAATGAATACGATTTCTTTTACAGTAGAAAATAGAACGTAAAAAAAAAGGAAATATATTGAAATGATTGCTGTCTCATTTGTCGCTTTTAAATTAAAATATTTATAACAGATTGATTAAATGAAAATTTTCCTCTTCAATTTATGCCTTATTTTAAATATTTGCACTTACTGTCATTTCTTTTTTTTTGAATAGTTAAAATATTTTTGATTAATAAGAGTATTTTTTGAATAGAATTTTTTCCAAGTTTTTTTTTTTGTTTTAATAATTGGAATAACATTTTTGTTGCATATTTTTGATGCTTTATTATATTACACTAATTATTACCATTTCAAATTAGTAGTTACAGGTGTTGAAGTTATTCTAAATTAATCCATATTTTAATTTAAAAATTTAAATACACATCTTTTTTCTAGCCTAATAAAATTTCACAAGAGATGGAAAATAAATTTAATTGAATTCTGATACATTCATGGTTGCATTAAAATTATCACAAAAAATTGTACTAACTGAAATAGGATAAATTTATATCAATTTCAACAATTGGCATTTTTATATTTTAATTTCAAGAATTACTATAGAATGCAAACAGCTTCATCCTAACTAATTACATTGATGATTGTTTAAATTAATAATTGCATAAATTGAAAATTATTGAAATTGATATGAAATTGATATGTGCAATATAAATTATGCAATAAAATTATGCAAATAAAGTTTATGCATTAATATTAATTTATATGCAAATTTTCTTTTTTTTTTGAAAAAATTTAGTTTTCAATATTTGATTTATTATTTTCGTCCATTATTAATTCGATTATTACCATCAATTAATAATAATTACTTCATTTTTTATTTCCAATACTTAAAAAACTAACTACAATTGGCGCCACTTTCTTTTCTTCCATTATACGATTTTAGCGCATAACGTACCCAAATGTATAAACGTCGAATAAAATCATCAGCAATTTCTTTTTTTTTTTGTTTTCATAATAATTTCACATTTTTCAAATGCATAATTTGAGAAATGCATCATAATGGTAAAAATTTTTGTTTTCTCACTTCGCTTTTTGCTTCTTTTGACTACCGTACCCAATTACCGTAACCTCGATGACGACTGTATACTGTATTGAACTACGATATACGATTGCAGTAACTATATGCGGCAATTGTATACGGTGGTTTAATAGGTATCGTGACCATATAGGATAATAATTGTATAGCGTAGTCAGAAATGAAAAGATAGGCCATTGTGTAATAAAATGTAAGCATAAATTATTGTTTAATTATTGCATATTTTCAATTTTCAGTAATATTATTTATTCAATATTGAACTGATATAAAGAAAACAAAAAAAAAATACAAAAAAAAAATACAAAAAAAAGCCACCTAAATCTATATACCGTAATTGTATACGATTTGATAGGTATCCTAACTGCATACGGTATAGGTATCCTAACTGCATACGGTAAATGTATATTAGTAATCAGAAATGAGATGATAGAGAGAATACTGTATGATTCAAAAAATAAGTATAAATTGCTATTTAATTGTTCTATATTTTCAATTTTTAGTAATATTATTCAGTATCAAATTGAAATAAAAAATATAGAACAAAATAAACAAAAAAAAAAAAAAAACCAAAACCTAGCATACGGTAATTTTACCATAAAATTTGATAAAAAAACTAAAGTTTTCAAATTACATTCATTT